ACTACTATTCGGGATGAACGAAGAAGTACGAGCGTTATTGATTCCTTTCAATATGGGAATACACGCCATACTCAAACAAAGAATGGATCCAGATGAAGAAATATTGTTTTCATATCACGGCTACGCTATTCCACAGCCTACGAATCACGATAACTGTGTCTCGCACTGATAGACGCTTGGGCACATTCATAAATCAATACCAGTTTATCGCTTGGAATCTCCATTTTCGCTTTAACTCAGATCGGCAGAGGTAGCGTTATACATATTCAACAAAGCTGATAGCATAGTGATAAGCGAGCGAAGAAAAATGTTCCCTATCGAGTTAATATCCCCGTTTTTGGAATAGATACTTGTCATTATTAGGTCCGCTAATTAGAAACTTGCTGATTTAGACGATAACTTACGATCAATATTTCCCACTTCCTTCAATTTTGCAATTCAAAAGTTTTCAATTTCCTGCATGAAATCAAGATAAGTAAGCAGCAATCTCGAAGCAAAATCTACAGGTAAATCTGTTTAAAAAGATTTCTTTGTGCCAACTTGATTAATCGTTCGAGCGTGGATGGAAGGATCTCGGTTACCATAAACGTTCAAACTTTTACTCATTTCTACTTCTTTTTTTTCTCTCTCGGTGCTTTCTTTTTTACGTTTAAATGAGCTGTTCCCACTAGAGACCGCGACACTCAGTGGATGTTAAACTCAAGCTTTAGACATGCAAATCAGGGACAGAGAGAGAGGTGTATGTAACTAACCCGTTCCTCCCATCTTCTTCATTCTTCCCTCTTCGTCGACTAAAGAGTGTCTTCGCGACGTATTTATAACCCCTTCCTTCCTTCCTGCCTTCCTTCCTTCCTCCGAGCTACGCTTCTCGGCCGCGCCGCGTCCTGATGAATGCCCACCTTCGCTTTAAGTTTATTAAACTAACTTGCGAAAATTATGAATAATTCCGTGCCATTGTATCATTCCGCGACGGTGCCGTACCTTCCGTTTCGGCTTTATGTTGAATCTCGGCAACTCGACTATCCTGTTCCGTCCCTTTCCGAGGGATACACTCGTTCGTGTATTATCAGGAAAATGAAGATGTCACCGAGAATTCGCTCTTCGTTGTGTTTCATTCAATATTTCTCACTTCGGTGTTAATCGTCGCGGGTAAAGAAACTTTTCACTATCAATTATTCGATAGAATATTCCACGATACAATCATGGATAGATGAGTGAAAGACTATCAAATTCGTTCAACATCGATTTCTTTATCCCAACGTACATTTCCCTGTGACTGTTCAACTACCGGCCATCGATTATTCATCGATGCTGGAACGATTTATGATGGCAACGTCGGTCAAGAATCGTGCAACCCAAACGGAGTAAAAATGGAACTCCCGTAACGACTATATGTATGTATATACGAGGCTCGTAAACGATCATTCGTTTCGAATGACTGTTTGAATAGCAGACGAACGTAACAGATTCATGGTAATGATATCGGACTTCATGAATCAGCCATACGAAGAATATAAAAGTTTGATTTGGATCGGTGAAAATACACTCTTCTCTGGTAAGATAGCTTCGAAATTTATGGTTGGTTAACTTATACAAATATTTCTTTAAATTTCATTTCAGAGAAATTAAAAATATTAATATAATATCAAACGGTATGAAGAAAATTGCAGACGGTCAAATTGGCACACTAATAAAATGCATGATCAAGAATTTGGAACGTGTTCCTTACGCGTATTTAACTGTGCAAACTGGTTTGTACGGATTAGGCCGAGCATGTAGGACCGTCTAAATACGCCGTGTTACCTGTGCGTACTGAGCTGCACAAACTGGTTTGCACTGTACAGGCTTGCCTCTCTTGTAGCTTTAACTCTGCAAACCAGTTTACGCAGTTATTCCACAGGAAATAATTGACCGTGTAGGCCTGCCTTTATACCAAATGAGATCAGTAAATAAATTAAACAAACATTATTATCCTACGTTTTAACAGTCGTTATGCTACATTCCCCTACGAACAAAGAGTCATTCTTCTTACGGTATTAAGTAAACGAAATCAACGGTTCCCGAGTCGTTTAATGACCGATAACTATTCCATTATTAAGACTAGGAAGGACGGGCAGCTGGTGTCTGATTTTCATTGACTCAATAGAAGAGTAGAGGGTATCACTGGCAAAGTAGTGTTATTTCTTGGATAGATAAACACAGTATTTTGCCGCGTCTTACGGCCGCTTGGCACAAAGCTAAGACCTTAATCCGGCCGTTCTAAATCCATGCGATACCGGCAGGAAGCGCGAGCGCACGGTGAACGATGTAAATTTTGGAATAGAGCGGAACAGGGTTTACACCGTAGACGAAGGGGTATTCCCAAATATCTGCAGGAAATCTCTGGAACCCATGACACACCATCGTGTTTGTCTTGCGTTTTAGGTGACTCGATTCCTCTGCTTACGTTTCCAGCGTGTCGAGACCTCGCGGCTTAGGGATTTGATTTCCCGCATAAATATTAATGCACCCTGATCACCCGGCCTTTCCGCCCCACGACTGCTGATGGACGCGATGGAAAATCGTAAGAATTCGATTGAAAATTCAGAATCAATTAAATTGCGTTTCACACTATCGCGAATTGTTTGGTTTTGAAGAAGAAGAGTACGTTTCAGAAATGGAAACGAAACGAAGAGCAACCGCAGTAGCTGCTTTAATTCTACACTGGTTATGATGATAAAGCGAGTCTGAGATGACTCGAGCAGACTGGCTGAATCTGAAGTTGCTATGTTGACGAGGGAGAAAGGACACCTGAACTCGACATAAACGTTTCTAACTAAAGGGAACACGGTTCTGACAACCGTAGGCGAAAAGAAGAGAATAGGAATACAATTGGTATATTACAGAATATTAAAAAAACTATACTTTAGTAGAAAGATGAGCTTCCGAAAATTATCCTAACTTCCAAGCATCTGATCGATGAATGGGAATCAAAATAAATGTCTGAAACGGAGGAGACAGTTGATACGATTCGAAAAGTTTTGTTAATAGGACAGTTCGAGTTCACGAAGCTCGAGTCACACGGGAGACAAGCAAGCAAGGAAGCAAGGAAGCAAGCAAACAAGCGTCGGCGTCTAGACGCGGACGAACGACGTTGAAACGGAGCCGGTCGATAACGCGATGCACCACCTCGAGCCGTGACGAGGCTGCGACATCGGGATTGTGATTAGGGGCTGGTCGGCAAACAATGCCTAATTACATAATTATTGTGCCGCGGGCCCGTAATTAAGACACATTACTCCTCCCGGCTGGTAATTCATTACGCTTAATGTCTTCCCTTCCTCCACCGTTTCATCGCGGATGACAGTCGCGACGGTTCTGCTAAATACCGTTACCGTGAAATATTACCGACCACGACCACGACCACGACCACGACCACGACCATCTCGAACCTACGCTCCACAGCCTCATTACTTTCTCCTAACAAAGCAGATCCTTGCTGAAAGCTCGTTGCCGGGAATACTGTTTGATCCTTGAAACCTTGTTCCACGCTCGTTTATTTTATTGGAACGAGCGAATAATTATAAGATTAATTGATACCGATTGTTCTATTCGAGAGAACGGACGGACGCTCACGACCCGATGTAATTACTGCTCCAACGACGGATCGGAGGAAGGATTTTACGTAGATTGTAATGGAAAAGTGTTGGAATAGGTATTTCCTTAAACTCCAGTTACTCAGCGATTCAGTTCGTTTAGGAAATTTAACAAGAGACAGATTTTTCTTTCCAAAACCTCGAAAAATTTACAGGAATTGTGTGATATATTTTTATTCTTTCTCGATATTCCCTAGTGCTTAAACAAATACGTCCTATCCGATTCAAGAGTACAGAATTGATAAAGTTTAAAACGTGGAACATCTGAATTGATCACGATATGAATTGTAATATCGTCGCCATCCGTTTTAAAAGCATGAAAGTAATAGAACGAGAGGAGCTGCTTGAAAGAACCGACGAAACTGAATACACTTTCGTAGCAAGATTGACACGAAGGATGTACGAAACCCTAGGACAATATGCAAGAGATAACCACCATCGTTACGAGCAACACGAATTCCCGAGATCCCAGTGGATTTTCATTGAAAGTTCCGCACTCAGATTGGCAGATGCTCGATACCGTTTTCTCGCGTAATCTCGATATGACCCGGACCTACCGTGTCCCAAAGGATACTCGGTGGATTAAAAAATTACCCGAGAAATCATTTGGCCTCCGTCTTTTGAAAATGCCTACCTTTTGTCAAGCAACTCACGACGAGCAGATTGCTTGCGCCATGCATTAAGTAATTATCACATCATTGTGATTAATTGCCTGCTTTATTAACAGCCATACGTAGAGGGACTACACGTTGCAAGGAGAATATGGAATTTTCGTATTAAACTTAATTAACAGGGGGAGGGGGCAAAATCCCAAGAAATTTCAGATAAAATATGTTAAAAGGCAATTAGCATGCAATATAAATAATTAGTACATTTACTCAGGTCGAATTTATGATTAATCAGTGATTATTGTCTAAAGCAATTAATTGATAATTTAAAGTAGTTCAATTAAAAGAAACGATTATTAGATTACAAACAGTTCCATATAAAGAATCAATTGTCTGGTAAACAGAAGATACGAATTCGAGATTCCGGTTCAACGATCTAATTAAACGATCCTTTTCCTGGCCGAATATCAAGTCAAAATGCACCGATATCACGTATTTGTTTGATCGATCTACCGTAAATTGAATATCAACAAAACAAGCGTTTTCATTCGTAGCGTCGTTCTAATTACACACGTGGTTATTTACAACGAACGGTTTCGAATTGAAATTATGCATAAACTAACCCGGAAATTGATAATATACACGATTCATAAAAAGTTTAAAAGTTTTTCGTTTAACAAACGAAAATGCGTACAATCATAGACGAATTAACGTAGTAAATATACAATTTTACGTAAAAAAGGAGTTGGTGACTCACCAGGTTGAATAAGTTGCACGTGTACCGACTGCAGGGACCATACTTATCTGCATTGTCAGCTTGATCTTTCGGAAGAATACCAAGATGTCATTCGTGCACGTGCACAGCCATCCGTGTTTCGTATCTGTACAAAAAACAACGTATTCTAGCCTCATTTTCTTGTGAGAAGTTATTGTCGAAGAACAACAATCGCCAAAAGCAACATAAATTTGACGCGTCAGGGGGTTACACGACTAATCTCATGGCGTCCCCTGTACATAATTTACAAAAAGATACGTAATCTTACTTACACGAAATAACAGCTTTGCTGCTCGCTGAATTCGTCTTCAGCACTGGCTTCGGCTTCCTGCACATCACTTTTTTGCACTGAATTTGCTAAATTTTCACTAAATTTTCAATAATTATCACGAGAAAGAAAAGAACGTCGAACACTCACATATTACGTCCTGGAAATGCCGGATGCTTGGCGGTTTTTCCGCGGGTGACGTCACAGCCAATAGAAATCAAGAATCAATAACCAATAGAAATCCAGATTCCTCGGGTTGCTAATTTTTGATTGGTAGACAGATTCGAGCCGTTAGCTGCTACTTCACATGCATAAATTCAAATCGTTGCAAACTTCTCATTGAATAGTAAATGAATGCTATTGATCATTATTAGCAAGCTGAAATGCAAAATGTACGTTATTTAGAGTCGTTCATAACGGGTAGATAATAAATACAGTAGCCTTAAAAATAAAATAGTCATGGAAAGAGAAAAATTCTTACGGTATTCGATCACTTGAAACAAATTAACCTCAATTGCTGTTATAAATTTCGTCTTGACGGACGATAAAATTGCTGGAACAACCGTGTTCGATTCGGTTAGCGGTTTTTTCTGTTCTTTTTTTTTTATACCTCCATTAATAATAGTCACGTTCAGGACAGATCACGTTTACGTGGGTAAAAAATTTCAAATTGAACCGCAGTGCGTGGGTAAAATTTGTGCGAGCTTCACTGTGAAGTGTGCGCCGGTGAATTTATAATTCTCGAACGCATTTACATGCCTTCGATAGCTTAAATAAAAAACTGCCATAATAAATCGTCAACTATTAGCATTGAAAAGAAATTAAACAACGAGTGATCGTAGCACGAGCGATCGAGATTATCAGCTGTCTTTCAAAATTAAAAAACTCAATCTTCAACTACAATATTATCAAATTAAAATTTGTGTTAAAAATAGATATTTTTTAATTATTTATTAATTAAATAATTTTCAAAAATCGGAAATGAGTCGATAAAGGAATCGCAAGCGCACACAAAACGCACGATAACGAATAACAATAGCGGTCCTTTTTAATTTCATTAAACCTGTAGATAAATACAACCGTTTCGTTGGATGCTTTAATTTAATTAAAAGCCTTCTCGTGTATGCAATTCTCTTCAATTAGAAAAACGTTTCCCTTTAAAAAGCGATTCTTTCGCGAATGCATCATTCCAGCTTCGTTACAATTTATCGAACGCTCTCCGCTGGTAATTATATACCTTTTATGACTGACTCTCCTGGCTAATACGTCACGTTTACGCGCGAAATTTTTATTCCAACGATCTCGCAAACAATATTTCGAAACGCTATCCCCCTACGATCCGTGATGCTGTTACTCGATCTGCATTAATTGGCATCATTATCGTGCTATCCATTTTTTCGTATAAACCGATTTATCCTCTGCTATTCTGCATTACGTTCTACAGTTTTGTTTTGGATTGTCCCAATTCGAGAGGCGTTTTTTAATACCTCTTCAATTCGTTAAAAATTTTTATTAATTTTATGAAAGGTTTTCATTAATGAATTAAAGAATACATAATTTTGCAAATTCACACTGAAACATTGAGCTTTCTAGAGATCTTCCGTAGCCAAACGCAACGACGAGTCGGCTACATAGCCCGGGAGTTCGAAGGTCTGTTTACACGAGTTCGCAAATATAGCCATAGGTATCGGAGTCAACCGAAGCGAAGAATTGATAAATTAGTTATTCCGTCAGTCGCCTGCTGCTGATTCTCCAGGTACGTTTGATCTGAGGTTTCGAATAATGCCTATTTATATTGGAAACCCTTCGAGGTTCCCTGAAATTTTACTGCGAGTAATTGAAAGAGCGTTGAAAGAGCAAACGGTGATTGTAATATAAAATATTACAATATATTGATTAGGATTGTAAATCTGATTTCACTTATGTCTTCTTTTAGCTTTGTTTAAAAATTAAAAAATGATTAATGGATTGTTCATTATGAACTCGTTAAAAATTTCTATATATCACAAATTGTACTCAATTATTTGGAAAATCTTTAATGGAAAGTGTAACTGGCCCATTTATCATAGGATAACAATTCCGGAGTACATCCTTTGAATGTAACTCTACCCTTGGGTAAACAAGACTAAGGGTTATGACCATTCTCGTTTGTCTTTGCGTCCGGAATCTTCGCACGAAATCCCTAGCCAGGACCCAATTAACTCCCGAAGAATTCGATCCTATCCCATGGTAATTCCAAGATAGTACAACTCTAACGGCAGATTAGAAAAGACAATATTTGTCTCGCTGCTTCTGCGTCTAATCGCGTATTGCCTCGCAGATGTGCCTTCGTTTAATATCGGTTACTATTTGTTCTCCCCTGAAATTGAAGACTCCGATTGTGTGTATACAAGGGAGAGAAGAGAAATTTACCTTCCTCAAAATTATTCGTTCATTTTTATATCTTCATAAGACCGAAGAAAGAAAAATCTTTTTATCGCTTAGAAATAAATTCCCTTGGAAGTAGTATTTCTTTAACTGATTTTCAGCTTCGAGCTTTTTTATCCCGAGTGCCAGAATCTGCGTTAAGTACAACACGTCCAAGAATCTCGTCTGACCGCAGGTCTATCCGCAGCGAGGACGGTTTGAATTGAAGATTTTTGCGGACGCCGTAACACGTTGGCTCACGCGCTAACGTATTTGCAAGATCCGCTGCGCTGATGGATAGATAATGCGACGTGTGATTGTAGGCCCGCCAATCGCGGCCGATTGTGCCTCTGAAGGCCCGCTAACTATCTCAAACTAGCCCCATTCAAGCCGCCACGACCTCCCTCTATCCATCCTCTATCCACCACCATGGCCCTGTATCTCGCTCGTTCCAACCCTCGTTCAACCACCACCTCCGCCTGTTCCTACGTCTCGCTCACCCCCGGAGTTTTCTCTCCCTTTTGCACCAAACTCGTCTCTCGTTTGCTCCGACTTCACAACGACCTTCTCTCTCCTTCCCTCGGCAAACTCCGTCTTCGTCGTTGAAACTCGATGTATTTTCTTGCCGTACGTTTCTTCCGCGCGTCGTATCCAGCTCTAATTTTCGACCAGCTCTTTCGCCGCACACGTAATCTTCTATTTTATTCGCTTTACCCTTCCTAATGCGATACCTCACTCCATACAGCTGCCGGCTCTTTTCTATCTGAGCGCGAACGAATGTTTTGCCTCCCATTTAACCTCCTTTATCTCGCTCCCACGCTCTATTCAACACTCCAGACCGTTTTGCTTTCTGAGAGTTTTCACGATTTCTTTCTGCCCGCTATCTCGACCATTCTACCATCCTGCTATACCTTGTTTAACCCGGTTTTCATCGCGCTCTATTTCGAAAATTCTTGCATTTTCACGATAACCTTTCTGCGAGTTTCTTTTGCCAGTAACAGGAAGCTACTTCATTTTCGCTTTTCCTTAAATCTGCTCGGTCTGTTCTGTCGTTCCATCCCCGTTCTTTCCACGGTCTCATCAAATCCCTTATCCCTGTTCGCGGTCTCTATTCGAGGGCTGCATTGACACGATCACGCGTGGTTACATAGGTACGTCACCGGTATTCGTCCTGATTCGAATTCTCGACCCTATATAACCGGCGCACGTTCTACGTGGGAATTTCAAATCTATCAGCGACCCAGACGAATGCAAATCGCGCGTGAAGCGCGCTTAATAAAGCGCCGCACGCGGCCCGCAACTCGCAATTTTCTTTCCTACGCTATACGTGTCGCACGCTCCTCTTAATGAAACCTTCGCATGCACCGCGTGCAATTCGCGGCTGCGCTTCCATTGAACGCGCCTCGCGTCGCGATACAATTGCAGAGGAAAAAGCGGCAGTCTTAGTAGTTAAGCTTCGGAACGAAGGGAGAGACGATTTCAACTTTATCCGTTACAAAAGAGATTCGAAGAGATAAGGAGAGGGATCGGATGTCATGAAAATTTACTGGAAAACGCGCAACCCAAGCTCGTTGAACTTTGCTTTTCAAACACTTCATTTTTCTTTTTTTCTGAAAAGATTACGCGTAGATTGAATTTTCTCCAGAGCAAAGCCTTGAGTTCAGAGTAGATTTGCAAACGGTGAACCTTGAGGGATTAGCAGTGATTTTCTTTATCCTGCTTACTTTATTTAGATATTTTACGAGCCGACCAATAAGGTCGATGCAAAAATTGTCACGAATATCAGATGTTGCTGTCGGTAACGTGAACAATATCGAAGGCAAGGCTGGTGCTTTTGACCGACCGCATTTCGGCCAGGCGAAAATTGAATTTCCAGGAAGCCAAGTCAAGAGGTAAGCGAGGAGAAGCGTACTAGCTATTTGCGTGGCCTTAATAAGGACGTTTGACGGCGTTGGCTTTCCCTTAACAAGCCAGCTAATATCCTGGGGCCTTGACTGTTCGGTGTACTGCCTCCATCGTCCTCTCTCGTTCTGCATCCACCTTTACTTTCTCCCTTCCTTCTTCTATCTTTCTCTGTCGACCTGCTCACCTTCCGCACGACGGACACCGTCGAGAATCAGCAAAGCTTGAAAACCGAACAAACTCAGTTAGAGAACTCGGTGTGAGGACCGACCGGACCAGCCGGCTGATAGAAACGCCAGAAACCTTCCTCCTCCTCATCTATCTATTCTCTCGTCCCACTTGGTGCATTCAGCGTAACCTTGTTTCGTCTTATATGCTCATTAACCGGCTATATTAATTACACTAAACGCAATGTTCCGATGCCAGACGGTGTATCGTGGGTCCATTTAGATTATATCTGTACTCTGATAGCATTTGATAAAAAACATTTATTTCTCTCTATCTCTTTTACAAATTGTAAAATACTGCAGTGTTTGTGATAGTTGTGTTTCAATACGTTAGTACATTTAAAAAAATATCATCTCTGCTTATAATTTGGTCTACTTAAAATCTATCAGTTGATCCACAACTGACTGATAAAGATTGGAACGTGAGTTTGGTATCTACCCTCAAATACTATAAGGGAATAGGACAAAAAATAGCTGAGTATCCTTCACTGTGATTTAGGTACGATTTTGTGAGTAAAACTTGAACACCCAAAACAGTATTTTTCAATAGAAAAATAGACTATATTGTGACTCCATTGGGGAAGTTTTCACGTCTCTATAAGAGAATAAAAAATTAATTTGAAATTAATTAATTTGTACTTTCACAATTAAATACTCACTCGTTTTTCTTTCAAATCAGCCAACAACATGTTTGCTGTTGTTTGTAAAGCAGGAATTCCAGTTGAGTTTTCTGTAGTTCCATTTTGGTCTTTCGGTGTTGGTAACCATCTAAAATGTATGTTAATTTTCATTTATCACTGTTGAGTAAGAGATACCGTGTGTAGACTTACGAATGAATTAACGGAGAAAGAAGTCTCTTATCGATGGAAGAAGGATCTGTGGGACCAGTCCACCAGCTAATGAAATTACCTACAACGATTACGATTAAGGTGCCCAAACCGGTGAACCAATGATAAGATAATCGATAAAGAGGAAACACATCATCTTCGCTGAAAGGAAATTTCATTTGTTAAGAATTTAAAACGAGACAAACAAGCTCTGTATCCATTACATAAATCAGTAAATTAATACGTTTATGCGTTCATATGAAACCTTGATCTTTCAACGCTGACACCAATGGTCGTTCAAGATTAAATTGGTCACGAAAGATTTCTATTAATTACCGCGAAGGCTACAGTTGACTTACTTTGGACGATCAAATTGTTTCAGGAAACTTTCGGATATATTGCCCGAGCACTGAGAGAGAGGAACCGGAAGTTTCTTAGGAACCAGTAACCCAGCGCCAATCGACCAATTTGCACCTAAGCTCGCCCATCCGGCGATCACGAAACCTACGATGGCGCCCATAAATGCACCCTGCTCGACAAACAGAGAATTATTAAATCCGTTTAAACATCATAATGCTCCACTGTCTCGTTCAATTTACCTTTGAGTTTGTCCACGGGAAAAGTATACCTAACGTAAATACTCCGAAAGAGGTACCTGCAGCAATTGCAGCCAGACTTCCGGTTATCTACACCGAAACGAAGCAATAAGAATTCATTCTGTAGTTTGAGTAAGAAGATTGCTCAAAGGGACACTTACAGCTAAAACTCCTCCTAATTTCTCGACCATAAATATCAAACCCAAGGCTATGGAACCGAGAAGGACAACCACCGTCTTAACGAAAATGGTGGAACATCGATCGGTCAGTTTCATACCGAAGCAACCTTTCACGAAATCTTCCAGAAGCACGACGGATGTTGAATTGAAACCTACTGATAGAGTACTGGAACGATGCAAATATCGTTTAGCTATTAAAACAATTATAGCGAGTTTTCTGGTTACAGCTTTTACCTAAGGGCGGCTCCAAAAATTCCAGCTACAAAGAGACCCGGCACCCCGTGCAACCGACCCGCTATTTCCATAACATAACCGGGTAACAGTTGATCGTCGGCAGTGATCAAACCGGAAGCTCTGGGATCGCATTTTGGCGGAGACCACCAGGCTATGAGAACGAGGCCGCACCAGCAGCACAGTGAAATGAATAACATAATACTAATAGTAAATATCGCCAGCGATCTGAAATCATATCGAAAGAGATATACACTAAGATATTCGCTTGGAAGTTCGAATCAAATTGAACTTACTAACTTGGATAATAATTAGATTGTCGTCAGGTCGAAAGGAATTGACGTACTCACTTACAGTTTGGACGTTTTCAGATCTTTCAATGACCTGTATCGTTGCACCATGGTTTGATTGACGGCTATGTAAGCGGTACTGTACAGCCACGATCCAATCAACACCGTCCACACTGTGTGCCTTGTGTAAGGAGACGGATCGAAGCTACAGGGTAAACAATTTCAGATATCAATTCATAAGCTCCCTCCTCATTAACTGTCTACGTTGAAACGTTCCTTACTTTAAGAATTCGATTCTATTGACGTCTTGGGCTCTTTTCCATATTTCTGCGGCACCGATTCGATAAGTACCTAATACGGTAACTGTTAACATCCCAGCTACCATGACTGCAACCTGAAGAGCATCTGTCCAAACCACTGCTCTGATGCCACCCTAACAATTATATGTATTTCAGTTCTTTATTTAACGTCATAAATCAACGGACAATATCTATTTAGCCTCGTTGAGTTTAAAGTTTAGTTATTGAAACAAGAACCATCAGGATCTCAAGAAGCCTTTCATCGTTCTTTGAAAAAGCGTACCCTTTTCTGGTAGCATCGTTAAGCGGACAAGCGCGACGGCACGGATTACGATAATAAACAAATTTCCAAAGAGTCACTAGACCGCGATAAATTTTCATTAATTCGCGGGCTACAACAAATTGCTTGGATAATTACAGGCGCGCGCGAGCATTAATCACTTCGACGCTGGCTTTGTGATCCGCTACTACGGCAACAAGCACTCGACGTGCTTCACGCCATTGTTTCCGGCGGACCATTGTCGAGCTTTCAGTTTCCGTCCATAAACATTTCCAGTAGCCGGGTCCGCGTGAGAGATTCTTCGCGGCATTGTCCACCGCAAATTGTTTCCTACAAGCTACCAGCGCGCTCCTGCTCGAGGAACTTCAGCTATCCCCATGGAGAATTCGCTGAACGAGCGTCCTTGGAAAATTAGCCAGCATATACCTAACAGTAGCGAGCCAAACGACTTAACCCTCTCTCGACCATTTGCTTATATTTCATCGCTGATACGTCTCGTTGACTCCTTCCGCGGTGACAATGAACGAATCCGCTTCGTCACGATCGTTCTACGCGAGTAACGATGCGCGCGTTAAGGATTCCAAGTGGTAGCGAATTGTACTTCACTTTGGTAGATTTACAGGAACGCGCATTTCACGATAAAAATAAATTTTTTCCCTTAATTTTATCTACTTTACCAAATTGATTAATAACACGCACGTCGAATAAATTTTCTAGGCATAAACTTACCAGAACGGTGTAGAACACGCACACCAGGCATACAATGATCCCGATCAAATGTACATCGATGCCGCTCACTGTAATTAATCACAGAGATTTTAGTAGTGCCGGGTTAATGTTCCGCTATGAATAATATGACCACGTAATACCTTGATTTAACGCTAACGCTGGAACGTAGACCACGATCGATTGGTAAAGCACCTAAAATTGGTTCATTACGACACTATTAATGAAACATCGAATCGATCATTGGGACGGGACTACTGTCAAAGGGACTGGTCAAATTGAATGTTCGTGAAAATAATTACACTATAGTCATTAATTATACGAATCTGAATGAAAAATCAAGGAAGCAAGGACGATTAAGAAACGTTCAACTACGTTTTCCTTTTTTTCTCCCTATTTTTGTCGAAACGGCGATAAGTCGAGCTGATTAGGCAACGTAAGGTAGCGTGACACGGCTTCGTTGCAAGTAATTTTTCTTTGAATCACGGTCGATGATTAATCACTTTTTCCAAAGTTTAGAACGCGTATCACGTGGCAAGCTTTACGTAGCTGAAAATCTAGATAAACTTTAAGACATGCTCGAACTTCGTCGACGCTATTTTCTTCTTACCACGTCAATAACGAAGATCAACGATATGAGGGTCCTTACGCCTCGATTGAATCTTATTTCCAAGTACTGAAACAAAATTCATTCTATAATGTTTCTGAATTTATACAAAATTGGATCGTAGCCGTCTGGACGTTAGCTGTACCTCGTAAACGGAATTCAATCCGAGGGAGACGAAAACTGGAGCATAGACGGTGGCCACTACAACCCCTGAGAAGAATATGGAAATAATGGTGATCCAATACTGGGTCCCGAAATTGTATATTTCAGCAGGTGTGCCGAGAATTGTTACGCCAGATATAAAACTAAAATAACAAGTTGCCTTTATTTTCATTTTTCATTCGATTCATTCAGTTTTTTATTATTTAAAATAACAGGAATCGGTAAATCGTAATTCGCTAGCAATTAGAAAGGATCCAAGATTGGTATACCTAGCGACGAGGGAGGCGGACACGGGAAAGAGGCTCATGCTCTTTCCTCCTAGGAGATAATCTTCCGTGCTCGACTTCTGCGCTCTCCTGTAATGCCATAATCCTGCGGCGGCAGATACGGCGAGCATCAGCGCGAACACCAGCCAATCTGCCCAATGAAAGTATCCTCTCTCCTCTATTTCCAACATTCTAGACCCGCCAAGCTGGAAGCGAGCGAAAACCTGATTTATAAAGCCAGATTTGCTTGATAACACCGATAATAGAGGAGTAATGGAAGTCAAGTAACACGGATGAAAGCTTAATGGCTCTCGCGATGATACGCATAATGGATCTTCAACGAGGATTTACTTTTCACCGTAGCTATTCAACGTGGCACGGGAGCAACAGAAAAATTCGTTTCCTGATATTAAATGAGTCCGCGGTCTATTCTATGCGCACGTTAAAATCCTTAAATTTGTTTTGCAAGAACAGAAACTGAATATCGTGTGTGTGTGTGTTTTTTTCGATTTTTAAATCCTCGTGCCATTTAAATGTGTAAAAGAGGCATTTGAATCATTTGCGGCGGATTCGTGATGTGTTAAGTATTTTTTTTATGCGTGTTCGGTACTCGGCTGATTACATACATGTTCGTAATTGGTACTTGACACACGACCTTAACGGGACTCGCAGCTGTGTTTCAATAAAGCTTGTTAGCTCGATAAACGCTACATTTCTGAGTATGACGCCTCGCATACTGTTTCTTTTTAATAGTTTTTCGTGTGTTTTAATAAATTCTGAGATACGTCTTCCTCGAAAACGGTAATGTATTTTTCCATTCGATCGTCAGAATCACAAAAGTATACGAAATAGACGCTAAGAAATATATATTTGCACCCATTAATGAAGTCTAATGATACTAAATATTTGAATCTAACGCGATCTGTGTTCATACCGTTTTAATTTCACAGATGTCGCTAGCATGCAGAAATCAATGAGAAAGTAGAATGGATATTACACTGCGGGTAATACGAATTGTTTCGGGTCAGTAGATTGTTGGAGCAAAACAAAGTGAAAGACTAAACCGGACTTAATTAAAGGCTGGTTAAGGAACGCGGAAAACAATTAAGGATACGAGAAGTTCGCATAAACACTATACGTCAGCTACGTAAGTTTCCATTCTTTTTCCTCGTAAATGACAATCTAATTGCTTCTTAACGTTCCTTTGTTCCGTAACAATAAAGCGATTTCTCTTTCCGAATGGATTATTTAAAATATTGAAATCTTGTAAGAAAAAAAGGTTGCATACTTGAAGGGTAATTAAGTCATATTACCGACCAGAAGTAACAGTTAACGAACGGAGTAGAAACCGATTGTCGATAAACACCTACTCACTGCTTGGTTTTATAAATAGCGTATTTTATATTTAGTAACTATGTTCTGCCCACTTCTAATACCGTTAACTAAATCTTTGTTCTTCGTGCGCCTTCACCAGGTGAAAATCACGGTCACAGTTCTTCGAATTCCAGAATAATTGATTTACTTTCTACGCGGTCACCTTGAGTCCGATCAATGTTCGATACGGAACAGAACACAGGTATCTTCGTTCGATTATTAACTAAATTACTTTTAATTTTACTTCTGTATCGGCTCTCATTTTCTCCCTCCCTAGCAGTAAATTCTATAAATTCTTTTCTCAATGTAATTTAATGTTGTAGAGCAATCGATTCAGTTTCATACCTTATTTTTCTTAAATATGCTACTCTTTTTCCTCGTATGGTGTTTGTACACGAGTATAGATCATTTCTTGAAATGAATCATTCAAATTAAAGAGTTAACTGACATTGTTTACGCGTATCTACATATATGTACGAAACACTGTAGCTAATTATAATTTTAAAGCGAGTGAAAAAAAATATCAACATCAATGTCAGGTTACCAAAGAACTTTTAAAATTCGTGGTAAAGTTAAATCAGCGTACAAATAGATCCATTATGACAACAGAAAATATTTGAAAACACAAGTTATGATATTTAAACATAAGAATACAATTGAAATAATTACATTAAACAAGATGCGATGAAACACTACGCAAACAACAGCCTTATAAAAACGATTTATTTCTTCTTCAAATTTCTCTGGCTAACATTTATTTGATCACATAACAATTATTGGAAACAGTTCGTTCATTCAATTATCAAACACTTTTCACCAAGAAGTAAAGTATTAATAATATTAATACACGAATTCACATCACGGAATGAAATATTGAAATCGTCGATCAAGCACGTTCTTTCGATGCGAAGGATAAGACGCTAACACTCGCGAAAGTATTTTTAAATACCCGTTCGGAATATCGATGCACACGTTCCAGTCAGATAGAATAAGAATTTCAAACGATTGAAATATTTTTAAAAATTACGGGGCAACAATACGAACGAATAAATATAGCCGAAGGAAGAGAACGTTACGATCGAGTGTCTGTCGTGACCGACGACTAACTGTCGACACTCGAGACAGAAGCAACCGGTTTGCTCGATCTAGGTCTAACTCATCCAACTCGAATCCAACATTAAAGAAAACTGAAAAGAATATTTGCTGAAACAAGCGTTATATCATTTTTCAATTCCATCTAAGGAATGTCTTCAAGTTTAAACAATGCAAGTTGCGAACGCTATCCACGTGAATGCTTGGGCATTGTTTAACTGTTAACGAAGCGATGTTAGATAAGCATCCAATTGGCACGCATAAGCCACTTTACTTCAGATTAAAACGATAACTTTACACACGCCGTATGGTGTTTCTTTACCTTCATGGATCATGGATCATTCGTGCATGTTTATATCCGTGATTGGATGATGAGCTTGTATGATTCGAATGAGAGATAACATAGGAGAGCATCAGTAAAAGATTGAATGTAATATTTACAACAAATTATTTTATCATAATGGTTATAGATAATTACAAAGATTCGTAAGACAACAATGTATAATCAGCTTTCATGTAGAATTTTGATCTGAAAAACGATGCGGTAAAAATTTGTATTATAACGTAAGATGTTCGATTTGCAAGTGACCGCAACATTGATGTACATTTGTTAAATCTACGATGTTACACCGCGTATATATTGTTATTTATCGTTCAAGTAGAAACGTAAATGTATTATTCTAGTCTTGAAATAAACTTCAAATAACGCCGCGTGTATTTATTTCAGAGGATACGTTTTTCGTTGAAATGTAAAATTTCAACAGAATTGGAATGTTAATGTAAAAACTTTAAAATAGTTTGAATTATTAAGAACGATGTATAATCATTTTAACTTCGCACAAAAACGTAACTTTTTATAATCTCAGAAACTGAATTACAGAATAAATTCAAAGTTTTCAACTTCCAAAATCTGTCATTTTCACAACATGATAGTAAAGTATAAAGTGTTTATATTAAAAGTGCAAATTTTATTTATAATTACGATCACACATCGGTGTAATGATTAACTGTATGAAAATTCACAAATACCATAATCACTTCTGTTGCAATTTTAACATTAACATATCTAATTTTTCGTAGCTAAAAATTTATCTAGCTAGATATACAATAAAAAATTGGATTGGCAAAATCTTTTGTTTTTCATTAGACGTTACTCTTGATTTTTATTTTACTATATCTTAATAGAAACGAAAATAAAAAATCTAAACCCGATGATTTAAGTATAACTTAATTTATATTTCTTGAATTTATATGATTATTTTATATGTGCACAAATTATGTGCATTTTCTGAGATTTTTGTGAAAATTATTTGCTTGAAACATAATACCAAACGTATTAAATTTAGAAATTACAAACTAACAAGTTTTACATTAATCAAAAGTAACTTTATAATAATTTCTTCTTGGAATATAATATTTTAACTCAATTTTTGATACCCTCACAGTATATTACGAGAGCTCATCGTATCTCGTAAACCAGATTTTCAAGGTACATTGTTTCTTCTACTTACACTGCTTTTAAATAATAATACATAATAACTGGAGTATTATGTAATAATTATTTACTTGTCGTTTGTACATTCTCACAGTGTAGGTCCTTCTTATTATTTCACTTTATATGTTAATACTTACATTCATTAATATACACATACTATGTACAGTACCGAGCGTGGTCCACTTTCGCGAGTTCCGGGGTTCCTAACGTTTGTTACAGGCCTCCCCTTCTCCGTAACACCATTTTCTCAATACTGTACTCGTATGTATACATGGGTATATCCATTTTTTTTCTTCAATTTCTTCGTTTCACAAAGAATTATTTACAACTTTTGAATTGGATAATAAATGTATTATTAATACAAAACAATGAATGAAATAAATGTCTTTAAGTATCCGCTCAATGCCATGTTGGTCAGTCTTTTAAAAAACATTGTATTTCATAGAAGTATATTATAACATATTCAAACAAGATATACAACTAATACCACATAATCAATCTATTCTTTGTGATACGAGAAAACAAACTTTTATATTGAATGTTTCATACATTTCTAAATTTAATGATGGAATATGGAAACAACATAATAATCACAGTTTTTGATGTCTTCCTTCTCCAAAAAGCCATAAGCAAACTCTGTCGACTACGTATGCGAGGACAAAGTCTGCTACAAGTACTTGAACTAAGAGTTTTCGGAACTATAAAAAGAAATTGTGATGTTACTATGCGAAAAATGTATGCGAACGATAGGTCTTAGTAGTGTGTACTTACATCACTTGGGAAATCCACAATTTCAAATTGTGCTGCTAGTTCAGGTAAAAAACCACAAGCTAATCCCAATATAACAGCAGCACTGCATATAAGGCTGTACAATAAGGATTTATTTTGTACTAAACTTTCCATGTAGGGTTGACCCTGCACAGTAACATTTCAGTTAATTAAAACGGAATAAATATCATTTTTGTTAATGCGCTTATATTTAAACATATAACTTACCCGATAATTAATTGCAAAAGTAGAAAGCTGGAGTGCCATAGCAATAATGTAAACTGTACTGTTTAATAAATTTGGTTCAAATTGTTCACTTTCATCACCGAAATTCGAGCTTACAGTTGCAGTCACGTTTAGATTGGATGCATTACTTGGGGCTAGTATAGCTGCCAATTTATCGCTCCTTATCAAATTGAATAGAGGTTAATTTACAATAATGCACATCTGTTTAAGCACTTCTTAATTTTGTTTACTTACTTTGGCGACAATAATGTAGCTTCTCTAACCAGATATACGAGAGAGAAAAAGTGCACAGCAAACTGAAGTAATACAGTAGCTATGGTATACAAATTAAATATATTTGGAAGCGGTCTTTGTTTGGACAATGTTTTTAGCGGTTTTGATCTTGATATGAATAAGAAGCAAGTAGCCAGAAGAACACCTTGCAATGTCGCTTGTGCATCGCTGAATTTGATTCCGTCTAAATACAAGACAGACTGACTGTATGCAAGTGCTAATGCATTAAGCGCCAAAATTTTAAACATCTGTAATGTTGTGACTAAAGTACAACGTCCTTGTTTAATAACATGACAAACTGTAACAAAACAGAAGTTATAATATGTTATACTAAGATAACTTGAATTTTTATATGTATTAAAACTTACTGCATTGAATCGATGACATTTTACTAGTAAACGGCGCTGCAATTGAAGCATCTCCCAACTTAACTATAACAGATTGTTCTTCCAATTCCTTTAATACTTTCTGTAGCCTTACTCGAGTATTAGCGGATCCTCTTGTATTCATTCTTGAACCATTAATCATTGAGTTTGAGATCATATTTTCAGTTTTCATACTATCTTGCTTATCTGAAAATGTTCTTTCAGAAAGAACTGGTGGACTAGAAAGGATTGCAACACCTACAGAAATTGAATGTGTGTGTGATTTGTTTTATGTACAAAAAATATTATAAAATTAATTAATCAACTAACCCACTTGAGCATGTTTTAAAGCACCAACATCGTTAGTACCGTCTCCGCACATTAATGTTGTATACCCTAAATTTTGTAATTGGACAATTATAAATTCTTTCTGTTTTGGTTCACACCTTGCAAAAATAACAATGTGCGGTAGTAATTTACGAAGAAGCTCGTGTTCATTTTCATTCAAGTATGTTAAACCCTAAAAGTTGTATATTGTAAAAATAAATACAATATTGTGCAATATCATTGGGGTAATATTGGGCAATATTATTTTCCTTACCTCTCCGGTTAAACATAGAGCATATTTTCGCCAAATCTCATTACCCCGAGAAGTAACATCCGTCTTATTTAAAGGTAAATTTATCTTTTTATCCACGCTTTCCCACAACCATTCTCCATCATAAGTAGTCAATATAAGCGTAACTGGTTTTTTAGTAAAATGTAATTCACGGCTAACATGACAAGCTGTCAGGGGATTGTCGCCAGTAATCATAACAACCTGCGAAAACCAATGTTAAACGGTTATATCAATACAAAAAATAGTTAAAAATAGAATTAATTGGTTGGATAATTACTGAATGTGACGCATTCACGATTTCCTTAATAACCGCCTTAGAATCAGGTTTAAGCGGGCAGCTTATAATTACAAATCCAGCGAAGGTCAAATTTTTTTCTAAACGATCTCGTGTTAATTCTCGTAGGTCCTGGGACGATAAAGGACCAGGAAGTTTTCGATATCCTAGAGCTAATACTCTTGCTCCACGTCGGGAAAGCGATAAATAGGTAGAGTCGTAATTCTCGGGTACAGATGATAACTGAAAACAAAAATAAAAAAGCGATACCAACACGTGACACAATAGTGAAACAAAGAAAATTTATAACTTTATTACTCACCATATCCTTAATGATTTCAGGAGCGCCTTTTACAGTGGTCATGTAATTGATTTCTGACGAACCTGGCATCGTATAACTAGCCACAACCGACATTCGTTTTAACGCCGAGGAAAAGTGATGTCGCTGCACTATTTTTAAAACGGGAGATTGTCCTTTTCTAGGTATCATAGAATCATCTATAAAATTAAAATTAAATTAGAGAACCACCGTAGAGAGAACCAATTATAAGTTTAAATAATGTATGGTCATACTTTTTGTAAGACTCCAATTGATAGCTTTTAACGTAGCTTTTTCAAGCGGATCTCCAACAATTTCATCATCTAACTGTACAAGTGAATGGCACGTTGCAAGTACTTGAATACTTTCTAAAGGAGCATCAGATAGTTGCATCACATCTGCTTTTCCTCTTGAACAGTAAAAAATTAGTTTAATATATGCATTTATATTTGGTATTCAATTGAAAATAGGTGTATGATTCTTACTCGATACCCGCTAGACCCTCAACAATCAAGTTATCGCTGGTTAAAGTACCAGTTTTATCGAAGCAGCAAATTTCAACCTTTCCGGCAAATGGAATTCTGAAAGGTTCGGTACAAAATACACCTAGCTTTGATAGAGCTAACAGGGATGTATTGACAGCCAATGATAACTCGATTGGCAGTTCCGGTGGAACAACAGATGTTAAAATAAGTGTACATTCCAAGAATAATTTATATCTGTTTCTTGTAGGATCCTCACTTCCTGTAAAAAAGTTAATAATTCATTTGTAACTTATATACATAATTTCAAACATTAAGATTAGTAGATAGTGTACCTTTAATCCATACATATGTTGCAGCTGCAATCGCGAATACTAGTAAAAATAAGATAAAACCGAATGTTTCCAAATTGTTAGCTGTAACGCGTTTAACCCCAAAGAGTATTGTCCTCAAAAGTTTGCCTTGTGATGTTGAAAATCCTGTACGTAAAACGTAGGCTACACAGCCATTGTCAGTCGCTAAAATTTTAGATGCACAAAAATGTAGATATCTACGGTAATATTACGGCCAATTATTATTTAACGATCAATTGAGTACCCTTAAGGCCAGATAGATTTTTACTAGGTGGAGTATGTTGCACAACTTTCGTGCCTCCAAAAAGTACATGAAGTTTATCACTGCCTTCTATATCCAGTTGCCTATTTCCATCAATATCTTCTATAGGTTCCTTCATTTGTGGAACTGATTCTCCTATTTATTTATAATAAATTGATGTAAAAAGGGTTAGATCACATCTTGGTACTTTCATCCTTAACTTACCTGTTAACATGCTCTCATCAACCACACAAGGTCCTCTTAAAAGTAACATATCACATGGCACCAAATTATCATTTTGAGATCTTGTTATTGATACAATGTCACCAGGAAGTAGCTGATCAGTGAACATAGAACGCCATCTTCTGTTCCTATAGACCTTTGATGAGAATAATGTTAACGAGAGTATTGTAAAGAAACAATATGTACCTACAATGTCTACTAACCATTATCATATATGGCTTATTTCCCATTTTTCTGATCTCAGCCATATTTCTAAGTTGTTGTTGTACCAATGTACACTCAAACATGATGAGCATAATAAGAGTAAAGATACTGTAATACCAATATTTGTCTAAGCACCATAATGCGACACAAAATACTTGAAAAACAAAGAATGGTGCAATTGCTCTTTCTTTAAATAACTCCTTAAATTCTGGTACTACCATATCCAACCTAAATTAAAAACAGAAAGACCTATAATTATAGTTGTGGTTCCTACATCAAGTTAAAACAAGATGCATACTTGTTCTTGCTGTATTTCTCCTCTGCTATGGCAATATCTTTTTCATCCAAGTATCCTTTCCATTCACAATAATGTTTAACAGAATGATTAATTGGATATTGAAGGCCTTCAAAACATTTTTTATTTGGATTCCAAAGGTATTTAGTTTTTTGAAATATGAACCATGGTTCCTGTTCATTGGAATGGTGTAACTTAACAAGTTCTGAACTTCCATTGTTAGGAGTTGGAATTACTTTTGCTATTTTTGCTTTGTAAGGGTCTTTTTCCTGAAACAATCAAAATATTAACTACAAGCATATCGTTATTTCAGAGTCTATAATTTAAATCCTCCCGCCACTCAATCGTATGATCTCAAATAAGCAGAAGGCCGGTTCAAATGGCTGCCACGTTTACCGAGCATATTGAACAAAATAACACGCACGTGTAAATTTTTTAATTGGTATATTTATTATTACAATAAACGATTGTCAACTCACCGAACTACAATTGAGAAAAGTATGTATATGCACCGACCATTGGCAACACAAACATATAAAAATTTGTAAGACACCAATAGCCGCGATGCCCACTAGGCCCGCGTCATAGTATTCATCAATCCCATAAATAAATATCCAACTATAAATCCACGCAGCGTGTAATATCACAGAGGGTAAAATATATCCCGTGAATAGCAATTTTCGAGGATTATGAAGGGTGACAGTCTGTACGAGTTCGTCTACCCGCGACGAAGCAGTAGTCGCCATGGCTATGATTACGTTACACACCGTAACAGGGGCGTATGGAGACTTTAATAGTAAATTGTTCCAGTTTCTTTCACATGAAATTTAACGACACAAACATTGAACTCGCACCGTTAAATAGAAACGTAACAACCAACGCTTGTGAGAAGTGCTCGATACGTGTTTATGTCCTTCGCACCTTTCCCTCGTGTTCTATAGGTATACTAATTTACAATAATGGGGCAAAAATGAATTTTCTGTAGAATCCCATTCTGCCATCTTATGGCCATATACGAAACCAACTTTTCCTTACTAATAAAATCAGAATAACTTCTCCATAGTTTGACTAGATGACGCAACTAGGTACTTTGCGCTCCTTTTTATTAGCTCTACCGCACCGAAAGTTGACATGTTGATATGTAATTTTAACATTTGGCGGCCTCGGAAAAGCCCCAAAATTCCTTATTTTGGCAAAAAACGGAATTTTCTATTCTGTTAGGTCCTAAGTTTACATTAACACACTTTAATTAACAATCTAAACTTGTCTAAACAATATCTTTACCGATGCGGATTAATTGTAAAAGAGCGGTGATTTACAAATTTAAAGCACTAAATAAATAAAATCTTCAGAAATAAATAAACTACAAACAAATCCTTCAATTTACAGTCGCAAGTGTTTAAAATATTCATGAAAGAGACATGAAATTGCCGGTTGCAATTGGCATTTAGCCATTTACGAATAAAGCGCCAATATTAATGAAGATCCTACATAGTGCTAGTGTTGAAAACTTTACCGACAGTCCCTAGAAAAATCACTAGAAACGAGTTTTCAAATTACGTCGACATTACTAAACAGAATGTAACAAAATTTGAGGGAGGTGTTCAGGAGGCCCTAAAGAACGTTAATCTGGTCCTTATATTATCCAAATCGTCAAACAGTTATAAAATATTGAAGTTTATGTCTGTCAACGGTCAAGAAAATCGCGGATCGGACTCACCTGCATTAATTTATTCGTAATATAAACATTTCTACGAATCGTATGTCCAAATGGGTACCAGACTAACATTCTTTGGGTTAGATAGAACAAAACGAGCACCCGAAGGATGATGTACAAGCTTCCAGGTAGAAGAAATTTGAAAATTACGATTTTATCGTAATTTGTTCACTCGCGAAAGAGTGAAGAGTGAAGAGATAAATAGTTCCTCATTTTTTCTGTAGGGCGCAGTTCATTCGTTTAGTACGCTCGACAGTGCAATCATTCGCACCTTGTGTATCAAAAATACATTAAATTGTGTATCAAAAATACAAGAAACAGAAGACAAAGTTGAAGAGAAGACCGGAGTCGCGACTTCTGACATCATTTCCATATTGTTTTCAGAAATGCGTAAGCTGAAAATGTATACTCTATTTTGTCGATATAGATACGAATTAAAATAACATATTTCTTATTTATTCTGCTTTTATGGTGATAATTTATTAAATACTGTTAATATCTTATTTATCTTTTCTATCTTTTTTATTATTTCGGTGCTTTGAAGTGAAAAAAGTAATCTTGACTTTATTTCAATATGGCGTTGATAGTTTTCAACGAATCTTTCCGTTCTTTTAAGGTTAAAGTTTTAAAGCAATTCGAAGTTTCTACCAATGCCTGTGATTGGTCGTTCCATTATGGCGTCCTCCTATTTAGACCAATCAGATTCATCGTTGAAGGGTTTGTTGCGCGGAGTGTGGTGGAGTACATAGTCCTCTTCGAAGCTTCATCCGTTTGACACGTGTTTGCAACAGGTAAGATTAAATTATCTTCAAATATTAAATTAAATTGCCGATCAGGTGTTAACTGTACAAAAAATAGAAAGAAACATCGAAGAGAAGTCTGAATTCTTGATCTTTAACATTAATTCGGCGTATTCTTCAAAAACACGCGAGTTGAAAATTTTTGCTCTCGCCGCGAATACACAATACGATTGGAACACCAGAATCTGAATTATTGTTTCTTTTATATCGTTAAGTTCCTAAACATTATTGAATGTTTTTAGTACTGCTTTACAAAATTTGCTGTTCTTAATTTAATGACGTTCTCTCTTGAGCATCGTAATATTATTCCTGTTTCAATCTGTTCGTGTACTTGCTTAGGTATCAGCCGATAGCGAAATTTACCGAAAAATGCCGAAGCGGTGCCGACCGGTCTTCGTCGGGAAGGAAGGTCTCGCCATTTCTCTCGCGTACGTCGAAGTGACAAGACGTATTGAGAGCATCCTTCCGCATAAGTAATAGGTGAGCATTGTATCTATTAAAATATTTTGCATAAATTGGAGTTCGATCGTTTATTAATGATAACTTTATTATTGTTGATTACATTTTATGTACATAAATTCGTATTTCTTTTTTGTTACAGATAATTGATGAATATTAAAAAGACGCCATGGCACCTGATATGAGTATGAAATAGAATTTCGTAAAAATATATTGTTTTAATTTATTATAATTAATTATTAACGTTTATTATTACTTTTTTTTCATTAAGTCGTTGTTAATTGTAAGCATTTTTAATAATTAATCGGTACCAAGATCAAGAAAGAAAAGATTAGAGATATTTTTTTTCTTTAATCAATTTATAGAAAAAGAATAATTAAGTTTTCATTTTATTAAATAATTTCATCTAGTATTTTAATACATTTGTTTTAAATTAAAACAAAATTAAAATAATTCGTATTTCACTGCAAATGATTGCTTCTCTTCTGCATTTATAAATTATTTTGAACAATCTATTTTTGTTAAATCGTAGTAATTATATTATAATATCCAGCTTTCGATGCAAGTTTAAATTAAAATAGAATCACGTTTATAAATCACATGTTGTTTAAGCATGATTAATTATTGGACTTTGTTTACTGAAAAGAATTTAGACAATTTATAAATCACGACGTAATAACATTTTCAACAATTTTTAGTATGCTTACAATTTTAACAACAGAAATCCTTTATTTTAATAAAATGGTCTATTATATTTATTCAACAATGATTTTCTATTCTTGTAATATTCATTGAAATAATTATTAACAAGTATTTAAAACATTTTTCAAACTAGGATCAATATTTAACTTGAAAATATTTCATGAACAAGAATATTTCCATTTACATATAATAACAGTATTTTCTTAACGAATGCTCAACCAGAAGTTTTGTTTCGTATATTTCCACCCATCCCCAACCTCCTTACTAATTTTTTCTTCCAGGAATTGTTGTGGCCGCGCGCAAGGCGGTCGGTAGAGTCAGTGTTTGCACGTACTTCCAATGTTTTGATTTTGACAAGGGTGAACTGGCCCCGAATAGAGTTGCGTTTGTACGCGTAGGAATCACGCGATAGTAGAGTCAGTGTTTGCTGCGTATTATAAAATATTTTCTAGAGTATCGCGGCTCTGCTTTTTCCTTTTTCATCGTGAAAGTAGAGTCACTACAATTGTTCGCCGGAAATTATTCACGGTCGCGTTACTAGTATTTCATATCTATATTTTTATTTTTTTTTTTTTTTTAATTGCTCGATATATCCGGTATTAGAGTCAGTGCACCACTGAAGAGGAGTCTTGGGCGTTGCTCCATGAGGAAAGAGTGTAAGTATCTTATTACTTTATTTAATTAATTTTAATTCAAGTAGAATAATTTACAATTTCAACACTTGGTAGTTGAGAGTTATTTTTCATTGTTAATATTTGATAAAATCCAAATTTATATATAATTTTATTACAATAAGAATTGATAATTTTCAAAATTAACCGCAATTCTTTTTTGTTTTGTTACAGATGAATTTTTTGATTTTGCCGAGTTCCTGGATATCCTGATGATGGCTTTCTTCACGACTTCCGTCTTGGTACGTCACTTAATTGCTTTTTATTAAAATAGAATAATTTACAATTTCAATACTTGATAATTGAGAGTTCTTCTTAATTGCTATTGCTAATATTTTATAAAATTCAATTTCATGTATAATTTTATTAGAATAAAAATTGATAATTTGCAAAATTAACCGTAATTCTTTTTTGTTTTGTTACAGATGAATTTTCTTCACGACTTCCGTCTTCTCCTACAAGGCAGCCTCCTACCTGGTGTTGTCCATCCTCCTACTTGACTGTCGGAAGAAGAGTATATCTGCGAACGGTGAGTCGCATGTTTTATGATTCCTCTGGTGCCCAATCATGTCGTAGGACGAATGGTCCGAATCGACACGGGTTACTAGTTGTATACGTGGGTGACAAGCATAGTGACCATGGGTATGATTATACCCATGAGTAGTAACATTTTTATTGTTTCATTTCATTTAGTTCAGGCTAGGTCTTCTTGTACTCCGCGTTTTAATATCATTTCAATTCCACATATTCCAATAGATATTTATGAAATATATGAATGCTCTTAAATGTTCTTAAATGTTCTTAAATGTGGAATTAGAATATTTTAATACCAAAACAATTTTATTTAGTTTGTCTGTAATAGAGAAGTCAAATACTATCTGACTTAGTTATTGCGATGGTTCACAGCAATATAATATTGATAGTATTATGTAATATGTATACTGGATATACATATTAATGATGCTATTACATTGATTTAATTACATTTTGTACATTATAAATTCAAATATAATTTGAGAATTTTTTACGAGTAGTTTAACTTATTTACACGTTCATGAAAAAATGAACAATTTATGTGCAAGAAGACAATTCGTGACGGGTAGATTTCCAAGTCAGAGTGATCTATATCAACACATTTTGCGTATTCTTGAAAATTCACTCTGAGGAGGGAGTCGCCCGAGGATGTTTTATTAATTTTCACAATAAATTCTTTTTTCACTACAAAGAAATTTTAATTAGAGACATTAAATTCTTTTCTATTAGAATTTTGCATTTCTTAAATTAGTGTTGCGAAAAATTTCCAGCGCGGGAGTAAATATGACGATGCACTGACTAGTATTCGGTGGGAATCCTTTTGGTTTTTAATCTCAATCCTATGTATTATTTAATTAATCAAA